TGCAGAGTTTGGAGGCTTCTCGCGCCAACTCTGAAGCTACACAGAGGCAATTAATGGAGATCCTAGCTGCTACCAGACACACCCCGGGAGCGTCCTCTTCTACTGCTACACCGCACGCTGAGTGGAGCTTAGAAAGCTTCCTCCAACATCATCCGACCAAATTCAGTGGAAATTGCCTCCCTGACGAGGCATATCAATGGCTGCGCGACATGGATAGAATTTTTAATGCCAAAAGATGCCCGGACGAGAATCGTTTGGCGTTCACAGAATACCTTTTGACTGGAGAAGCGAGCCACTAGTGGGCGAGCGTGAGGGCTATACTGACGGATGCTCACCGTCCTATTTCTTGGGAAGTGTTCAGAACCAAATTCTACGAAGAATACTTCCCTGACAGTGTACGGTTTGCTAAGGAGGTGGAGTTTCTTCAGTTGGTACAGGGAGGAATGTCAGTTTCGGAATATACAAATAAATTCAAGCATTTGGTGAGGTTCAACACTATGGCAACCAGTGAAGAATGGCAGTGTAGAAAATTCGAGAATGGGCTGAGGAGTGATCTAAAGGTGTTGATATCCAGCCTATGTATTCGGTCTTTTCCTGCAATGGTTGAGAGGGCAAAAGTATTGGAGAAGAACATGGCTGAAGTCGAACATCAGAAGAAACAACAAGCAACCAGGGGACCGATTCTAACGAGAACAAATCTGAATCGGAATAGGACTCCTTACGCTCGACCAGTGCAGTCAAGTGGGTCTCAGGCGATGGTTGTTGCTGGACAGCAGGGGTCGATCAAATGTTTTCAGTGTGGAGGGCCCCATTACAAGTCAGCCTGTCCTCAATTGATAGGAGTGAAATATTGCACTCGCTGTAGAAGAAACGGCCACCTGGAGAACGAGTGCAATATGGGTGGACGTGCGGTTATGAGACCACCGAACACTGGGAGGAATCAGATAAGAGGTGGTGGACGAGCTGTGGGGAGAGTATATGCGATAACTGGAGCGGAGGCAGCAAGCTCAGGTACGCTCATCACTGGTACCTGCTTAGTTCATGGAATATCTTGTTGCGTGTTGTATGATTCGGGGGCAACACACTCCTTCATCTCGAAGGCGTGCGTTGATAAACTGGGTATATCCGAGAATGAGATGCAGTTCGATTTGGTGGTGTCAACCCCAGCGGCTGGCGAGGTTAGGACGTCTACTATATGCGTTAGATGTCCTATTGAGGTAGAAGGGCGTAGATATAAGGTGAATCTCATATGTTTGCCTCTCAAAGACTTAGAAGT